GTTGGTTGCCAGAGGGAAAAGGAAAGGCGGGTGGAGGCAAATGGGAGAGGGTAGAGTGGGGATAAATGGTGACAGAGGAAGATTTGACTTGGGGTGGTGGACACACAGTGCAATGTGCAGATGATGTGTTATGGAATGGTACACCGGAGACCTATATTATTTTGTTGGCCAGTGTCACTGCAATAAATTCAATAAAAAATAATTTAAAAGAAAAATTAAATGTAGGAGGCACCAAGTTAGATTCATTCTCATGGAATTTTATTATCATATTTTTAATTATGGGAACCAAACAAAGCAGCCAAAAATTTAAAAAGAAATTTAACTCAATAAAGAAACCAATAAATATATCATTAATTTCAATACCACTACCCTACTTCCATAGGTTTTTCAACTTTCACTTAAATGTTTTTTTTCGTCCTTCATATGATCCCAAATACTTATTCAAGGCCTACATTTGCCAAATATTCATTTAGTCAACATTTATTTTCCCCAAAGGCATTACTATATGAGCATATACAAAGTCCAATGAAGACTTAAGAGGAATAACATTAATTTTAAGTGGAAGCACAGAGAAGCCAAGCAACTTTCCAAAGGCACAGAAACCAGCACAAGAGCACAGCAAACCTGACTTCAGCTCTACATGCTGGGAATGCACACAACCAACCCATATGCACACATTCTTTGTAGTAACTGATGCAAAGCATCTGACCAAATTGTAAAGAAACAAAAATTCTGCTTCCCTCCAACTATTCAGTTTTTCCATGCCCTCTGCAACTCATCCAAAGTTGAACCCCCATGTGGGAAGGGAGCAAAAATTATAAATTACAGGCATTAAAATATCAACAGGTTTCTTCTATATCTAGAAAGGTGAATAGTGTAATTTATACTTTTTTCCTTAATATTTTTCTATATACTAGTTTTTACCCACAAGACCATATTATTTTTATAAAAGTAGGAAAAGAATCAAACCATTAATATTTCCAATTTCTTAATTGGTAAGTGCTTAATTTGAAGTAGAAGAGTTTAATATAAATAAGGTTCCTGTGACTATAGTACAGCACAAAATGGGAAAGACAAAGAAATTCAAAACAACAAATAGGAGTTTTAAGCTTTAAAAAAATATATCAATTTGAAAAGATGACATATATATTTCACCACAGTGAATAAAATTTCAAAGCAGAATCAGCTCTTACTCATGTTCCATCAGAGTACGGCACAGTACACAATGAAGCAGCAAGATTAGATCTGACAGAATCTTTTTGAAGACACTGGGCTTTGGTGAGCAATGTCTCACAAGTATGTTAGGGTGAGTCAGTAACAATAGGGTGGCTGGAAACTGTGTGTTGGTCCCATTAGTTCAAGGCCCAGAATGGTAATAGAGATCAGCAAAGCACAAGCGTCATTTTACAGAGTGTGTCTGTGTCTTCAGAAAGCAAATGGCCACAAATACCAGGATTGTATCAAGAGCTTGACTCATGTGCTCCATTTTATTCCCTTAACATTCACTTGAGAATGGGGGTATGGGACAGAGAGACAATAATCAATACTCCTACAACAACAAATTACTAACAATTCCAGAAAGTCCTTTCTTCACTTAACATTTATCAACCTCTCTCCATCTTTGTACTTAAAAATAAATAAATAAATATGCACCTTTCTAAACCTCTTCAAGCCTCTCTCTGAAGCTTTCCTAAAATCCCCTATTCTTACCCTCTACCTCTCTTATACTACTTTTACTCTTGTGTATTACTTATTATTACATTGCACTGACATTATTTATTTACAAACTCCATCTTCACTAAACAAGCAATTCTATGCCAAGCTATATCATAAGCACCTGTGTTCCCTAATGATTAGCATAATGGAGCTGGAAAAAAAATGAGATTCAAAACTTGTTTGTGAATTAACTTAAACTCTAGCAATAGAAGGAGACTGTCAGAAGATCCTATTTCTGGAACTTTTCATCTTTACTAAATAAATAAGAATATGGATAATGAAACAATCATGTAAAAGAAAAATATATTGAGGTTAGCTACTAAAATACTTGAGAGCTCTTTAACACAACCTATTCTGATTTAAGGATTGGTTACTTTATTTAAATGAGACTAAAAGTCACCCCATGTAGACAGTTTGCTAATAAAAGTAATGGCAGAAACAATACACTGCAGCAGAAGAGTAGAGAGGTACCACCTTTACCTATTTCTTAACAGGGGCAAAGGGCTTACAAGAACTAGTATAAGGGACACATGGACAAAAACTAAGGGGGGTGGAAATGGGAGGAGGTAGGGAGCACTAGGGGGGTGGGCTAGGATGGGAGTAAAAAGTCAGAAAACTGTACTTGAACAACAATTAAATAAATAATTTTTTTAAAAATTCAGTTAAAAAAAGTAAACTTCTCAAAGGCCATATAGCAATTTTTACATAAAAATGTACAATTTTTGTAAATAAGGATAATGAAAAGCAATCTAATACATTAACATTTGGTCAACAGGTGACTGGCATTTATCATATCTAGCCATTCACACTTTCATTTCACATTCTACTCTTTCAATGAAATTTATACTGAACTTTACTTCTTATTGCCTTTAGTCATTCAACACTTGGTAGGCAGCTAGGAAAAACGTGAAATCTGACAACTTTCGCAGCTGGTATTTTCAGCAAAGAAATGTAATTCCTTTGCCACATGACTTATGATTCCACTTCTCGTGGCTTTCTCTTTTAATGACACCTTCAAGGTTCCTGAGAAAATGCCCCAAGGAAAAAAAGATGATGCCAGAGTGGGTAAGATGGAGGCTTTGGACATAAGCAGGTATCACTGAAATTCTGATTCTATCACTTACTAACCGAGGAATTAATCTCCAAATCTTGGTTTCCTCGTCTATAAAATAGAAAATAATAATAGTACCTATTGAATTATCATGAGGATTAAATTAGACAATGCACAAAAATCACTCAAATTATAACATTTATTATTATGAATATCAAAAACAGGTTAGCATAATGGTTAAGAGCATGAGTCAGACCGCCTGAGTCTGAAATCCAGCTCTGCAGCTTCCTGGCCCTTTTAGCAAATTACTTAACCTCTTGTGGCCTCACGCCTATGACATGGAGTTCTTGAGAGATTAAATGCATAACAGATTTAAAGCAATTAAAATAGTCCCTGACAAAGAATAAACTCTCAATAAACATTATTTATTACTATTATTATTTTAACTACAAACTTCTAAAAAAGAATTATTACACATCAAATTTTAAACATTAAAATGTGACAAATGCTATGAATAAGCAATTCATAGGAGGAATGTAAATGGCTGATAAAAATCTTGAAAGATGCTCAGCTTCACTCATTAACAAAATACAAATTTGAAACAATAATTTTACTTTTCAACTAGTTTTTTAACTATTAAAAGATTATATTAAACCTAAGGAAAACAACAGAAAAACACACATTTCCAATATATGGTTGATGAAAATGTAAATTTACACATTTTTGAAAGGTGATTTAATATCATCTATCAAAATTGTAGAAAAGTATATTCTTTGACTCAGCAATTCCGTCTGTAGAACTATATTCAACAGAAATATTCATCAAAGCAGGCAAATATATGCAAAAGAAACTAGAAACACCCTACATGCCCATCAATAGAACACTAGTTAAATAAACTGCTTCACATGAACATGGGTAGAACACAGCCACTGAAAAGAATACTAACATTATGTTCACTGTTAACTGTTAACTATCCTATACCCATCTATGTAAAAGAACTTTGTATCTATTATTTTTACTTTTTATCCAATCCCAGAGATTTCCCTGTTTTGCTTTCTCCCACCTCCCTAATCTATCACCAAAGATTTCATGTAACCCTCTTCTGTTATCTTCTCTGATTCTGATGTATAAATTAAGTGGTAAAAATGCCATTTCCTGGAGCATTTTCTCACACCCTTGAGATTCTGCATCCTGGTAATTGTAATCAGTTTGGTTCAAAGGCACCCATAAAAAATTTTAAAAAGAAAAGAATACTGAATATCTACACATACAAAAACATAAGTATACTTATTACATACTGTTAATAAAGTTAAAGCACAGTATTTATCATATGCCATTTTTATTTTTAAACAAAACAATCATACATCTACTTATATATTTATCTGTAATGCTTATAAAAATTAAAAAGATGTCAGTGATTGCATCTGGCAAACATGATGTCAATGTTATTTGAATGTTTGCGATATATCTGTACTAGATTTTATTTCTGATTTGTTGTTTACTTAATAAACTATAATAACAAATAATAATTAAAAACAGATTCTGAAGCCAATAACTTGGAATTGCATGTCTACCCATTTATAGTTGCCTCAGAAATACTGCTTGTCAGCAGACCCAAAATCTGAAATAAAATTCCATACTAAAATAATGGAAAATCCTCAATGACAGTCTCTTGAAACACACTGCAACAAAAAAAGGACTTCCCTTTTTTAAAAATTGAGTTTCTTGGGGTGACAGTGATCAACAAAGTCAGATAGGTTTCGAGTATACACCTCAACAAAAAATCTGCATACTGTACCATGTACCCATCACCCAAAGTAAAGTCTCTTTGCATCCCCACCGTGCTTTGCTCCCTTCCATCTCCCCACAGCCCCCTTACTCTGTCGCTAGGCTATCACTGTACTATTGTCTTATCTATGTTATATAAAAAATTAAAAATTAAAAATTAAAAAATAAAAGGTTTTCTTCTATCTGAATGTAATGAAATTACATTTTCTAACAAACATTCCAGAACTTATTTCATCCCTTTAAATGGTTTCCTTGCATACAACCCATTCTCCCATGGTGTAAATATAAATTAGTGTTTTTTTAATCTATGTTTACCAAGATATCCTAGTTTCATAACTACATGAAGAACACTTTTCCCACCCCCTAAAAGCCCTCAAAACATATTCCACAGTAAAAACGCCTCACACATACATACACTATTAAAAAAAAAACACAGGACACTTACTCGGAATGCTGCAAGAATGATTCTTGTCACTTTCTCTTTGACAGATTCTTGAAGGATATCAGACAGAACAGGAATGATATTATAGCGCCGCAGGTGTTCACACATTTGAGGACTGAATGCCAGAAGCCATATTGAAAAAATCATTTGATACTGGAGTTGAAAGCCACATTTGTTACTCAAAACTCCCATTATGCTGAAAAGGAACACATATTAAGAAAACATTTAGTATGACAGTGTAACAAGGAAGAAGAAGTAACTGATTATACTTTTTGCACTAATGGAACAAAATTATGTCCTCAGTTTCTTTTCTGCTAGCAGTAACAAGCAAGCTAGATCCCTACTCAGAGAATGCCACTTGCAACACAGCTTCACTTCACCCTCTCTCCAAAACACAAGACTTCAGCAAGCAGCAGCATTTGCTGCAGGGAAGCAATGAGAGGAAACACAGCCTTGCAATACAGAAGAAGAAACAGTAAGAATCTGACAGACATTATAGAAGCTAAAATCAACAGGACGTTCATCTTGGTGAAGTCAGATGTTGTATCAAGATTCTGAGTCTGGACAAACAAGACAATCATGTATAGCTTTCAAATTTTTAAGAAATTCTGAGAGGAAAGAAGGAATTAGTTTGGCAAAAACCCACCATGAGTCTAAATTTAACACAGCCAATCACTGAATGTGGGGGTTAGAACCTGAGAAGCTTTTAGTTCAACTGCCCATTTTACTGACACAAGACAACTTGGGAAAGCTAAATGGAAATCAAAGAGGTTACACTAAGGAAGAGCACTGAGGTGATTTCCCTGGGGAATACCTCATTCACACAAGGAAGAACAGAAACCATCAAATTAGGCCACTAAAAAATGAGCAGAGGGGTTAAGAGACTAAAAACCTACAGCATATACAACGTAAAGAATAAACTCTAATGTAAACTAAGAACCACAGTAAAAATATGTCATTATTGGTTCAACTGAAACAAATACAGCATACTAATTCAAGATATTAATGATAACAAACTATGGAAGGGGAGGTATATATGGGAACTCTCCTCACTTTCAATTTTTCTGCAACTGAAAACTGCTTTGAGACATAAAAATCTATTAATATAAATAAATTTTAAATCTAATTTTACAATCTATAACTACTAACTTAGTGGAAGGTTTATATTTGTACCATTTCTCCCTTTTAAAAACTTATGTTCAGTTATAAATTTGCTTGAATTGCCCTTAATTTTTTCATACATGATTTCCAATTTAGTCTTTTCTATTTTGGTTGTTATGTAAGACATGAGCTTTTACAATATTGATGGCAGTATTTCAACAGCCATAAAATTGTGTAATTTTATTCTATTACTACCCCAATACATGGTTTCCTTTTGTAATTCTTTCAATTACTAAGGTAAGCCCTCTACACTTTGTGATGCTGTGGATGAGACTTCTCAACACATTTCTGCTTTACTAGCTAGTTCTGTCAATAGGAGGTGCTAGAGGCTGACTGAAAGCTTGGAGTAAGGAACTGTCTCCTGTTGACTTCCTTTTCCTGTATCAGCATTTCTTCACCCTGGTAGCAACCACTCTTCTGTGCAGCAGCAGCTGAAAGTCTCACTGCACACCCTCAGAGACACCAGCACCAACCACATGAGTCCCCAACCTATGAGGTCCACACTTTGAGCTCAGGGGCACAAGCCCTGATAAGTAGAACTCCCCCTTCTATGAAGTAAATTGCAGCTTCACGCAGCCCCTCCTTGAAGCATGTAAATTTAGTAATTGCAACCTCTTACCTTTGTTCCCCAGCTTTAGGGGTATCTCCACTAGCTACAATTCCTGACACTTGAGAATCCTTTTATTTGTTTTCAGAAACCTAGTTAACAAATGTATACCTAGTTAATAGTTCTTCCTACTAAATTACCTCTATTAAAATTAAAAAAGTTTAAATGAACAGAAGGGTTAAGGAGAGGTCAGAACCTCTGTTTTAGTCAGGACCACTGTTGCCAAAATCAAGACAGAAAGGTTTCAAAGAAAGAGTGTTGTGAACAATGATGAACACCACAAAGGCATTTAAGAGAATATAAAATTGTCTACAATATATATAAGTCCACTGAAAAGAGAAGTCTTTCCCCGTCTGGTGTGGCTCAGTGGACTAAGTGCCAGCCTGCAAACCAAAGGCTGGCATCGCCAGTTCAATTCCCAGTCAGGGCACATGCCTGCATTGTGGGCCAGGTCCCCAGTAGGGAGTATGTGAGAGGCAACCATACACTGATGTTTCTCTTCCTCTCTTTCTCCCTCGTTTCCCCTCTCTCTCTAAAAATAAATAAATAAAAACTTTAAAAGAGAGAGAGAACTCTTTTGTAGCCAAACATTAACCAGAAGAAATACCTAATGAAGCAAAATAAAACTCATGTTTACCAGAATACAGTGGAACATGAAGGGCACACTAAGGAGATACAAAGGACACCAGGGCCCAGGAGAAATCTAAATATAGTAACTTAACAAATATGTGCTGAGGATCTATGGGGCAGGTACAATGCAAGACATGGGGGTCATAATGGAAGGCAAAACAGAGACTCTGCATGCTCTAAAGGAATTCGAGTCTAGTGAGATGGGAGGGAAGGATTCCCAGAGGAAGTGGCCTTGAGGTGAGACCCAATAAATGAATAGGTGTCCACTGTCATTTAGGTCTCTACTACTCCTCTCAAATTGGTGAGTTTGGTGTTACCATTAAAGTTTCTGAACAAATTACTGAATGATGTTGTATAATCCTAAATACTATCTTTGTTAGGTATTTAATACTATTTTCCAACTAGACTGTAAATTTCTTAGAGGAAAGGACCATTTATGTTCATTGTATTCTCTATCATAAATAGTACATTATACAAAGAGCTCAAAAAATACAATAATTGTCAAAGCCAAGATTAGAAAGGATGCTAAGGTCCCTGAGGCCAAAAGAACTATTTACTGTTCTGTTTTTTGAAGTAAGGTTTTTCAAAATATCAAGCCAATGCAGGGAGTAGGAAGATAAAGCAGCTAGTTTACTGGCTGACATGTACACTTTCAGCCAGCTGCTGATCTTCAAACCCATGAGCACCTCATACCTCATCATGTAAGATCACCCAACAACATAATGTTTTAATGTTTAAAAAAAATCTTACCTTTCATTCACACGCTTATTTATATTCTCAAAATATTTCAATTGTTGGGGTATAACATTTGTTGGAGGCAATTGCTGGATGCAATTTGAATTTGTAGAGGCAATTATCCCAGGAAAAGTCCCCTTTTAGCTCCAGCATTTTTTTAAAAAATCAGTGCCAATCTTTAGACTTCTAGTGAAGTCAACAATGCATAAAACAATGCAAGTATATTTTTGTTCTTAATAGGTATATAAACAGCAAAAGTATTGTATCATTCACCTAAAAGGTTTTTTAACCAAAAACGAAAGAAAGCTATATGGATAAAAATGTACTGGTGTTTTAAAAACATCAGTTCTCTCTTCAAACAGGCTACCCTCATAAATTTCTCCTCCTCTCATGATTCTACTTGTGATTTGAGGAGTACCAAAGGAAAGAAAAAAGAAACTTTAAATCCTAAACAAAGGAAATGGAAAAGTAGAAAGCACATGTTTTATTTCCTTAAAAATTGAAAAGATTAAATGACTTGTATAAATAGCTACACTATTGGTAAATTAACATATTATGCCTTTATTAATGCCTATTCTCAATCTACAGATCTCTTTGATTACTTCTAATCTTGTTAGTAGTGATTACCATACCAAAATGTATAGGATGATCATGGAATATTCTAGACTGTATTTATCCCTGTTCTTGTTGCTAAACTGGATGGTTAACATTGCTTACTGTCCTCCAAAATACTAAGTGCTAGTACTTACAACAGCAGCATTCAGTTAGCCTCAGTATACAATTAAAGCCTATTGAGCCAAATTTTAGTTATTTCAAGAGGTTTGGGAGGACAATTAAAATTATTTTTAGAAATTGGTGTTTGTTACTTTTATTCTCTCTCACCAGTGTTCCAAAGAACAAAAATAATCTACTTTTTGTTTAACAGATTAAAATTCAATTTATTTTACAATTATCACACAGGTCTTTTAAACCTAAGACACAGTATGACATCTTAGCGTTTTATGTTATCTATAAAGATTTATACTATTTCATCATCCTAGACACTGTTTGATCAACAGTCATTCATTATTCCCAACTATGCTAAAAAAATTAAAGGCTAAAAGTATAAGAAATTTAGAAAATAATGTAATTGCCTAGGAAAATAATATAATGAAATAAATGTGTATCCTTTCTTATTACATTGCCCAAAATATTGCATCATTTTTTAAAGAAGGGAAGTCTAACTTTATTAACATCATCATCCTATGACTGCTATCCTTACAGCGGTCTGCCTGCGTATCATGCCCTCGGTTGGCTTCTAGGAACGTGACTGGTGAACAGTTCCCTACACCGATACGAAACTCTTCCTAAATGACAAGGGAGCCTTACAGTACCTAAAATGTTTCTGAAAACAATATATTTATGCTGAACACCTTATGCTTTCCTTCTGGAGACTGGAACTTCGCAGCATGCGATCTCATTATTCTTAATTCCACTATCTCATTATTCTTAATTCTCTATCTCATTATTCTTAATTCCATTAATTATTTATAAAATAACTAAACATATATTTTACAAAGGATCTAGATGGCAAATGGTAATGACTATTTTTCCTTACATACTGTTAAATAAGTAAAAACAGATTGAAATTTTGCATCTTAATATAAGATTACTACTTACTGAGTCAATAGTTATTGAGTAGCTCATGACAATTCAAATGTAATTCGTAAGAAAAGCCATTTGCAGAAGTAAGCCACCCTAAGAAACTGCATGCAAATACTGACTGAGAATTATCTAGGCTATTTGGTCCCTTTGACAGGTATATTCCTACACTGGAGATAGGAGGCACCAGTCTACTAGAACTGGATGACACAGCACCAGGAACATTCAATGAGCTTTTCTGACTCTGAAGCCTTGCTCACAAAGGAACCATCTGTTGATAAAACAGCTTTCTGTATAGATTTCCCAACAGAGAAACAATGTCTTCACTAACTTAAAAGAGTATTTGGTATAAGAGCTCTCACTATGAATAAATAAACTGCCTTGTAGTAGTAAAAGAGGATGTCATATGTTTGTTTTGAAGTTTGGGGAGGTTCTTTGTATAATATATTTGAGTACCCCACAAAGAACGGACTAACTACACAGCATTACAAAGAATGGCTTTTATTCACTCTTTTTTGCATAAGACCTTTCCTTATTATTGTTCCTTTTTAGTAAATTTACTGGGGTGATGATGGTTAACAAAATTATACATGTCTCAGGTACACAGTTCTATACCACATCACCTGTACACTACATTGTGTGTTCACCACCTCAAGTCTCCTTCCATTGCCATTTATTCCCCCACACCCACCTCCACCTCGCTCCACCCACCCCACCTGCACCCCAGCAATCACCACACTGTGGTCTAAGTCCATGAGTTTTTCCTTTTTATTTTCACTTTTGCTCAATCCCTCCATACAGCTCCCCCAACCCAACAGCTTTCAGTCTCCTCTCCTATCTATTAGTCTGTCTCTATTTTGCTTCTTAATTCATTTTGTTCATTAAATTCCACATATGAGTGAAATCATATGGTATTTGTCTTTCTCTGACTGGCTTATTTCACTTAGCATAATGCTCTCCATTCTTACTGATTTTTGTCTGTATTTATCACAAAATAGTTTTATGATCGTTTACTACTCTGAGTACCTAGAATTTGTTCTATCAAGATTAGGTTTTTAGAGGGTGGAAGCAAAGGAGGGAGGTGGGTTTGGCTGGGGTGGGGAGAAAATGCAGACAACTGTAATTGAACAACAGTGAAGTATTTTAAAAGAAATACAAACAAATTTTTAAAAAGATTAGGCTTTTATGAGTCCTTAAACTCTTATAATAGCACAGACCAAGCAAGGGAAAGGGGATATATTCTATCTGGTAGTTATTAGTTACTGACTTCTATGACAGTTAGCATTATCCAGTGTTAAAAAGACACAAAACGGTTAAAATACTTCTTTTTGATGATTAATACTATCAAATTTCTTTGCAAATGTCAAGGATGGATGTTTTTAAATACCATGCTACATTAAAAGTAAAAGGGCACTCACCAGTTTACCCCATCTGCTTCTACCCAGGCAAAGCGGTACTCATTGACCCGAAGCATCAGCTGCAGACACCCAGCAACACACTGTACATACTGAGAGCTCTACACAAGAAGAAGTACAAGTTTTAAGATTGGAGAGCATTTAAAGTCATGACACCACACATATACAAAAAGTTTGGATTTTTTTAACTAGAGTTTCTTTCTCATTACCAGAACAGTCAGAAGTCCCTAATATTTTTCTCAAAAATCAATCCTCATTTTTGCTTTTCTCTCTACCTCTTAGAAATAAAGCAGATTTTCTCTGCCAAATTAAACCTACACAGTTCAAGGCTACTTAACACACATAGTTAGGGAAATGAAGGAACAAAGTAATTATAGCTTTGACATGGTTTGATAATTACTTTGCAATGTTTCATTTCCCCTGAAGAGAGGCACTATATGGAGAATAATACTGTTCATAATTACAGAATAGCAAAAAAACAATAAAATTAAAGAAATAAAAGTTGTATGCTTTCAGACAGGCTTGTATTTGAATGATTTTGGTCAAGATACTGAATCTTTCCAATACTCAGTATCTTCACACATAAAGATGACATCCCCAAGCACCTGGAAACTGAATAAATGAGAACCTTAAAAAAAACTATATAGGATGTAAAAAGTTTAAATAAACACTTGAAAAGACTCTATACTTTTAAAAAATGGTTAGTTCAAAAGCACTGTCTTAAGAGAAATTGTGGTTAAATCTGAAGCTAGAAATGAACAAAAATAGTAACCCCAGGAACTTGCAGGCTCCTTCGTATTAGCACAGCTAGTAGTAACACTTGGCACGGGATCTTCTCTAAATATTATGAAATTTACATCTGTATAAAATGGAAAGACAAAAGGTAATTTCAGACTCTAGCCTTAAAGAATTAAAAAGGAAGAAGGAACTTCTGGTGAAGTTGAAGGCATAAATAAACACAGCTCACCACCTCGCACAACTACATCAAAATTACAACTAGAAAAAAAATTACAACTAGAATATAGAACAACCATGACTCCGAACTATCAGAAATCAAGTTGAATGGAAGTCTGACAAGTATGAAATTAAAGAAACCATATCCACACAGACTGGAAGAAGAGGTAGAGACACAGAACAGGCTGGTCCCAATCCGCATGTGGTGGATAAAAATTCAGAAGGGGTATTTCAGGAGCAAAGAGTCCCAGACCCACAGCAGGACCCCAGTCCAGGGTTCCAGGGCTAGGGGATAAGTGCTCATAACTTCTGGCTGCAAAAACCAGTGAGGATTGAGTCAGTGTAAGAAACTTCTGGAGTCCCAAGCAGTTCTGATTAAAGAACCCTCACACGGACTTACTCAGACTTGCTCTCTCTGAGCTCCAGCACTGGGGTGGCAGCTTGAAAGGCACCAGTGGCATACAGGGAGGAATGGAAGTTTCAGGCATCAAGGCAAGAGCTGGCAGACAACTTTCTCTTAAACAGAAAGATGGCCAGAGGCCAATGCCCCTTTGTTTAGCCCCGCCCCCCCCCCCACAGAGCCTCAGAGCTGGCAGGCGGATGCCATATCTGAAAGTCTATCAACTGTTTAATACTGTTTGCCCCACCCAAGAGATCCTGAGACTCCTTCCTACCCAAATTACAGGCCCACCCAAAATGTTAACCATGACTTTCCCACATAAATGGCTGGTCTTGGCTCATGCTTCACAACTTCCTAAACCCTTTCAAACAAGCAACAGCCCCCATAGCTTTTGCTAAGTGATCCAGGCCCAGCACTAGCAGGAGCCAGCCTACATTCACAGAGTGGCTTCCTTTAGGAATCTCCAAGCCCAGCACAAGTAGCAACCATCTCAGATTGATTTATTTCTCAGGCACGGTGGCCCTGAACAAAATACAGGTGGGGGCAGACCTTGACCAGCATCACCCAGGAAACCCCAGAGCCTGTGCACCCAGTGGACAGACCATGTCAGAGCACCACCACCCTGCCGCTGCACAATTGATCTTCCACAGAGGGCAGAGGTTGGTGGTCAGTGTTCACAGCCAGTCCTTGAAACTGACTGGCCTCTGTAAACTTCTCCCATTGACCTGCCAACAGCAATAAAGCCTCAACTACAAGAGAAGGGTGTACTCAGCCCACACAAAGGGCACACCTTGAGCACCCAGCTCAAATGATAGTGGAGGCTGTGCCACTGGACCTTACAGGACACTCAGTACATTGGGCCATGCAACCAAGACTTGGGAGTCATAGTAGCTCTACCTAACACATAGAAATAAACACAGGGAGGCTGCCAAAATTAATAGATAAAGAAACATGGCCCAAATGAAAGAACAGATCAAAACACCAGAAAAAGAAATAAACAAAATGGAGATCTGATAAACAATCTATCAGACACAGAGTTCAAAACACTGGTTATAAGGATGCTCATGAAACTTGGTGAGGACCTCAACGGCATAAAAATGATCTAGTCATAATTGAAATAAAGAACAATTTAAGGGTAAACAACAGTAGAATGGATGAAACCAAGAATCAAATCAATGATTTGGAACATAAGGAAAAAGAAAAAAAACAACCAACTAGAACAAGAAGAAAAAAGAATCCAAAAAAATGAGGATACTATAAGCCAGTCTGTAGGACAACTTTAAGCATTCCAACATTCACATCATAGGGGTGCCAGAGGAGAAGAAATTGAAAATCTATTTGAAAAAATAATAAAAGAAAACTTCCCTAATTTGGGAAAGGAAACAGACAAGCAAGTCCAGGAAGCACAGAGTCCCAAACAAGATGAATCCAAAGAGGCCCACTCCAAGACACAGCATATCTAAAATGCCAAAGGTTAAAGATAGAGAGAATCAAAAGCAGCAAGAGAATAGCAGTTAATTACCTACAGAGGAGTTCCCGTCAGACTGTCAGCTGATTTCTCAAAAGAAACTTTGCAAGGTAGAAGAGATGGGCAAGAAATATCTGAAGTCATGAAAATCAGCGACCTACGGCCAGGATTGCTCTACACAGAAAAACTATCATTTAGAATCGAAAAACAGATAAAGAGCTTCTCAGACAAAAAAAACGCTAAAGTAGTTCATCACCACCAAACCATTATTATATGAAACGTTAAAGGGACTTATCCAAGATAAAGGATATAAAAACTACAAACAATAACATGGAAATAAATACATATCAACAACTGAATCCAAACAACAAACAAGAAGAACAGAGAATCATGGATACAGAGAGCATTTGGTGACTGCCAGATGGGAGAGAGGTGTGGGGGAATGGATAAAGAGGTGAGGGGATTAAGAAATTCAATAGGTAGTTACAGAATAGCAGATGTAAAATAACAGTAATAGGAAAAGAAGTAGTCACAGAACTTACATGTATGACCCATGGTCAATGAACATAATGCGGGGATTGCCTGAGGGAATAGGGGTTGCTGAGTGGAGTGGGGAACAATTGGAACAATTGTAATAGCATAATCAATAATATATAATTTAAAAAATTAAAAATATTAGAAGAAAAAATTTTAAAAAGTATCACAATATTCCCTGGCTGGTAGCTCAATTGATTAGAATATCATCCCCGATGATATTCTAAACCACAGTGGCAGGTTTGATTCCCAGTCAGGGCACATACAAAGGGCAACCAAAGAATGCATAAATTAGTAGAACAACAAATCAATGTTTTCTGTCTCCATCTCTCTCTCTCTTCCTCTCTCTAAAATCAGTAAGTAAAATAAATCAAACAACATATCACAACTAACTGAATGCACAAGCAGATATAACAGAATTCAGATGTCTTCAAGGCATTTGTAAAACTGTAAAACAATGGTAGCCTCTCACTAGTTTTTTTTTTATTTTGGAAAATATCATTATTTTTCTTAAAATGTTATCATGATAGGTTTATTTTTATTGAACTAATAAATTGTTTAAATTTTTTAAAAGATGAAGGGAAGGAAGGAGAGACTAGTGATGTTCTATAAATTCACAAAACCTAACAACATATGCAATGCTCTGTTTTAATTTAAACAAAATTTGTTAAAAACCTAACTCTTCAAAAAAAACCCAGGCACTTAAATACAAAAACACAGTTATCAAGAAAAGATTATTTTAGATTTTATCTAGGAAGTAGTGAACATAGTTGCCCAAAAGCACAATATATCCCGTAACACAATTTGCCTGAAAACTCAAAACATTAGCAAAAATTAATGATCGAAATAACACTTTAATTTTTAGCTCTAAAACAGTCTTCCATAAAGGGAAAAAATGTGTATTTTTTACAATAGTCAGCAGATACTAATCCTCAAAAGAGGAATTCCATCTTTCTTGTTGAGAGACATACTATGCAAGGTTTCTACATATCATCAATAAAAAGACAATCTAGGGTATTCTCGCCTCTTCCATTTCCAACAATTTTGTCTCAACATAAAAATTTCTTGGTTCACTATAGGTCTTCCTTTTCTGTGTCCATTTACCATACTATTTTGAAATACATGACACATTTCAAATATGGACTTTTCATTGTTATTGGTAGCTTCAGAATTTACATTATAAAGAAGTATATAAAAGATGCTGGTTCTAAAACTGTACTCTATATCCTATGAGGCAATCCAAATACAATTTCAGAAATTACTCTCATAGTACAGAGTGAAGGCAGCACTGGTAAATGATTGAATTACTGCCCTGAATTAAAGTAAATTGTATCTCCTCTTTGTCTTTCACTTACATGATCCTATTAATCTCATGTGTAAATTATTCATTTTAGTTTATTTTTATTGCTTATGCTGTTACAGTTATTTCTTCTCTTTTTCCCATTCCCTACCTCCACCCAGCACCATCCTCTCCCCACCCCTAGCCAATCCCCATACAGTTGTCATGCCCACGGTTGTGCATAATGTTCTTTGGTTAATCCCTTCACCAATGTTTTTTAAGAAAATAATCAGCCTTCAATCAATCCAACCAGTAACCATTTCTAGTACTACCCAAAAATAATTTGCTACTCCTGGAGAAAATCATATAACCACGTAACGCCATCAAGCAACTCTGGTCTGTTCTGCCATTCCCCAGAGTCACTGTCATATATTCACCACTATCTTCCTGTTTTACTCTCTGCCCT